TATATTTACCTGTGTCTTTTGTTACCATTGGTGTATAATTAGCAACTCTAAAGTAAATACATTCGTGTATTAGAGGTCATCTTCCTATAAAAAGTGTTCTGTTATCTATGTTTTATGTGAGGACTACATCCTTATTAGTCTCTACTCCTCCTATGGGGGGAATTGAATAGGAATTGAATTGGAATTACTTCTAAAAGGTTAAAATTTGGAATTAATTGAAAAATTTGAAAACTGCCCCAAAAAATCGAGAAAAAACTTTGAGAAAGCAACAGGATCAGACAGTTATGTCATAATTTAAAAGGTTTTACGAATTCTACCTTCTGTGGTATTTTAAATATCTAGCTTTTGATATTCCAGTTTGTATTTGAATTTCTTAAATATATCAACGTAACAGTTTGCTAACTTACATCGAAGAAAGTTAAAAGACAGACAGGACAGAGCCTTAGGCATACCCACAGTTAATGTCCTTGACTTGGATGAAGATCCACCAAAGATGACTGAAAAACCAAGGTCAGACAAATAGATGGATAACCGGGAGACAGCAGTGTCACAAAAACCTAGACAGAAAAGAGAGTGATGGATAGTGTCAAAGGCTGCAGAGAGGAGAAGAGAAGCCAGGATAGAGGGGGAAAGCAGAGCCAACATGGCAGAGTAGCAGGAAGAAGTAAAGTCAGATCTCTCCCCTCTCCCTTCCTCCCCCAACACCTCATAACTCCTTCAAACAGATTTAGAAAATATACCAGACCCAACCCTGATGGTGGGCAATACAAGAGTGAAACTTACTGTGGGTTTCAATGGAAGGGAGAGAAGGTACATTTTCATTTTGTTGGGTTTCCATGATACCACTCTTCTCCTGCCTTTCTGGCTGCTCTTTTTCAGTCTTCTCTTTGGCATTATTACACCTACCCTGTAGGCACGCTCTAAGGCTATGTCCTTGGCTCTTTTCTCTACTCTCAACATTCTCTCTCTTAGCAACCTTATCAGTGTCCACAGATTCTATTACCCTCTCTATGCACAGAATTCCCAGATCTACACACCTAGTCCTACTCTTCTTGAGTTCTAGTCATCTAGCTATCTCAATGGCTAAAACACAATCATTCCCTCTCAAATGAACTCTTCTTGACTTTCAATATGCCCTCTGGAGTCTCATCACCCTGTAAGACCACTTTTATTATTATTATTATTATTATTATTATTATCATTTTTAGGCAATTGGGGTTAAGTGACTTGCCCAGGGTCACACAGTTAGTAAGTGTCAAGTGTTTGGTCTGAGGCCAGATTTGAACTCAGGTCCTCCTGACTTCAGGGCCAGTGCTCTATCCACTGTGCCACCTAGCTGCCCCCAAGATCACATCATTTCTGAAACTCACACTTCAGTATCCCCTACCCCTGAAGCCCCTCCCCCACTCTGAGTGGAGAGTGTGAGGTTGGGCAGTGGAGAACTCTGCCCAGATCTTCCATTTAAGGAGGGTACCCAGAGCAGCTGTCTCATCATTTCCTATCCCAGGCACTCCTCTACACTTTCACCATACTGGTACCTGGTACTCCTGGTACATTTTTCAGCTCACTTTTATGTGTTGTCATCTTCCATTAAATTGTGAGCTCCTTGAGGGCAACGACTGTCTTTTGCCTTTCTTTTTTCCCCCAGCACTTAGTATAATGACTGGCACACTGTTGGAACTTAGTAAATGTTTACTGACTAATTGACATCTTAAAAGCAATGTGTCCAAAATAGGACTTATTATTTTTTATCTAAATCTCCCCATCTTCCAAACTGCCTTATTTTTGTCAAGGGTACCACAACTCTTTTAATTTTAACCAAAGAGGACAGAGACCAATTAAGTATCAATTACAATATCTAAGCAAGAAGTGATTAGGTCCCAATGGGAGTAGTGGCCCTGTGAGTGGAGATGAAAGAGATGCTATAGTGGAAGGATCAATAAAATTTGACATCTGATTGGAACTGTAGTGTGGGTAAGAAAGGGTGAACAGTCAAGGAAAACTCTTAGGTTGTGTACCTGGGTGACAGGAGGATGGTAGCAGAAATATATCTGTAGAAGTGGCAGGTTTCTTTTCTCTTTTTCTTCCTTCCTTCCTTCCTTCCTTCCTTCCTTCCTTCCTTCCTTCCTTCCTTTCTCTTTCTTCTTCCTTCCTTCCTTCCTTTCTTTCTTTCCTTCTTTCTTTTTCTTTCTTTCCTTCTTTCTTTCTCTCTTCCTCCTTTTCTTTTTTGAGGTGCTGGAGGAATACCTATCTTAAATGTGTTGAGTTTGATCAAGCAATTTATTGGACACCCAGATAGAGATATCCAGTAGGCAGTTGGCATACCAGTCTGTGTTCAGGAGAGAGATTAGGGTTGGATATATAGACTTGGGAGTGAAATGTTATAAAGATGCTAATTGAATAGGAAGCTGAGATCCCTAGAATAAAAGAGAAAAAGGTCCAGGACAAGGTTTTGAAGAATACTCCTAATCAATCAATCATCAAACATTTATTAAGTGCCTACAATGTGCCAGACACTATACTAGGAAGACAATCATTCAGAAGAGGAGACTGGGGAATAGTTAAACAGATGAGAAAAGCAGGAGACAGCAGGGTCACAGAGGTCAAAGGAGGATTATTCAGGATGAGAAGGTCATGATTATGTCAAAAACAACAGGGACAAAGGAGAATGAGGATTGTAAAAAGACCATCAGATTTAACAGAATGGCAGTTAGGGGCTTATTTGCCTGTAATTTATATTTATCAATTACCAATTATTATATATAATATATACATATAAATTACACATAAATATATAAAATTATATGTGTATATACAATGTAAATTACCAATAATTTATAAACCAAAATTTACTTAGGAGAGAGCAGGTTCAGGGAGATAAATGGTGGAGTCAGAATCCAAGTCACAATCTCTCTGAGCCTCAGTTTCCCTATATGGAAAATGGTCTTAATAGTACTTAATACTTAGTAGTACTTAATAGTACTTCCAACTTCTATCCCACAGGGTTATTCTAGGGACAATGCCACTTAAAACTTTGACTCTGCCTCTGGGTCCCCCCAGCTCTGATAGGTGAGCTTGTAAAAATAAAAATAATTTTAAAAGACTTTGTTAAGGTGCCTAGGTACAAACAATCTGCAAGTCTGGAGGGCTGGATCTCTGACCAAATACAAAGAAATGCATATACATCTCTGACTGAGTCTACATCCCACTTCTCCCTCTCTCCTGAAGATCCCTCCACTGCCTTCCACAGCCCTTCCTCCTCTCCCAGATGACTTCACTTCCGACTTTGTCAAAAGAAGAGATGTCAAGAGTTCTCTCGTTTTTCTCCCTCTTCACCTCAAAACCTTTGTATGTCCTTAACTCTCCTTCTCTTCTTTGATTTGATCTCAAAGGATGAACTGGCGCTCCTCCTCCCCAGGTCTAACCAGTCCACTTATAGCTTTGATCTCCTCTCCTCTCAGAGCTTGATCCATTGATTATTCTCTCGCTTTTATCTTCAGCTCCTTCCTCTTTCAGGACTCCTTCTCCATTGTCTATTACCTGGCTCAGGGCTCCAAGAGATCTGTGATCTCATAGTCATGATCCAGTGGGGCAGGTTGCAACCCATTCATTATGACCCTTCACATAAAACTTGCCCCTGTGTTTTCCAGTAAATCTACCACAGCGGAGTTCACCCAAGGTGCTAGGGCCCAAGACTCTGCCTCCTAACTTTTTTAAGCACTATTCCCCAATGCTGTCATCCTCTCAAATTACTGTCCAATATCTCTCATTCTGTTCATAGCTAAACTTGTTGAAAATATAATCTCCACTTATACTTATTCACCTCATCACTGCCCAGTCATTCCTTTGTCCCTATGACTTCTGACCACACCACTCTACAATCATCAAGCCTTTAATGCCAACTACATGCCAGGTGGTGGACAGCTAGGTGGCACAGTGGATAGAGCACTGGACTTGGAATCAGGAAGATTTAGCCTCTTGAGTTCAAATCTGGCCTTAGATGCTTATTAGCTGTGTGACTCTGGGCAAGGCATGTAACTTTACCTCATTTTCCTCATCTGTAAAATGAGCTGTAGAAGGAAATTATAAACCATTTCGGTTTCTTTGCCAAGATAATCCCAAATGGGGTCACAAAGAGTCAGACACGACTGAAAGGATTCAACAACACTAACAATAATAAATACCAGGTGCTTGATACAAAAACAAGAATGAAACAATCCTTCCAGGTGTTTACAGTCTACCAAAGGGAGCCAACATGTTCATATCGAGGTATATGCAAAATAGATTCAATATAATTTGGAGTGGAGCATCCCACCTAGGTGGGCTTGGGCTAGCCCGGTGACACTTGGGATGGCTAGGGAGACTCCTAATTGGCTGGGAGACCTCTAAACCCATGACCACATGTGTAAGGAGATAGAAAGAGACAAAGAGGGATGTATAGACAGGGAGAAGGAGAAAGATGGGGAAGGGGAAGAGAGACTGTGAATGGAGGATGGAGGTCTCCAAGACCAGGTATGGGGGGATGAGTCAACACAAAGGTCAAGAACCAAGAAATCAGCAAATTAGCTAATTAGCTAGAAATTAGCAAACAAAAAAAAGATATTTGAGCAATAAATATAAAGTGTCTCATTGGGAGTCTGAGAACCAGGTTTCCAATGGCACCTCTGTCTCATATGTGGCCCTGGCTGAGTCACTTCCTTACTCTGGGCCTCAGTTTCCTCATCTGTAAAATGATGAGGTTGGACTGGAAGGCCTTTCTATCTAAGATCCTATGATCCTTCTGGACCCCTCTATTGATAAATAACAGTTGAGCACTTGAGTTGTTTAGAAAAAAGTTTATTGTAACTGGCCAGACTGAGGTTGTGACAGTATACCGAGGCAAGGTTAATAAGGAGAGAAGAGGGGGTGACCGGGAGCCCTTGCAAGGTTGGCTGGCATCAGCTCAGTAGGAGCTACAGGTCTCGTCAGGGTGGATGTGCAGTCAGCATCGGCTTTCTCCATCAGGCTCTCTGGAATCTCTGTTTGCATACTTGGCCTTCGCAGAACATTTCCTGGAGGCAGATGCAGAAGAAAAGAAGGGGATTGGGGGAGGGAAGAAGAAAGGCTGAGATCAGCACTTATAACACAGTCTCTTCCCTGAGATCTTAGATGGATTAATTACCAGCTCGCCAAGCCCGGCCACAATCAGAGACTCTATACCAAGGCGCCATAGGCTTTAGACTGGAGCTCTGTGGGGTTTGAGCAAAACATATTGCAAGGGATATTCCACCTACCATTAATTGGTTCTGCAATGAATAGATGAAAGCTTTGATAGCAGTGGAGATCCTTTGGGCCAATCACAGGTTTGTATAACAGGATTTTATGACTTGAGGGTTTGGAGACCACAGTGGGGTTGGACACCACAGTGGGGTTGGACTACAGGTCCAGAATGAGCCTTACATGGTCAATCTGCTGGTTTCTTTTACTTAAAGATAGTTCTGTGTTATAGGGGAAAGGTCTACGGGGCAAAGGGGAAAGTGAGGAAGAATATTAAGGAGTTGTTGTGATGCAAATAAAAATAATAAATGCAACATCAAGCACAGTATTTAGTCAGCTGCTGCACACTGTATTTGGATAGGTGGTTCCTTCTCTTTTTTGGGGGGGGGGGGTTGTTTTTTTTGTTTCAGAGTGAGGAAGGGTTCCAGTCCTGCCTCTGAATCATATGGGGCAAGTCACTTCACTTCTGGGTGGCCCAGGCAAGCCTCTAAGATGGTGGTTCTCAAAATTTTTGGTTGGAGCTAGGGAGGAAAAAGTAGTATTTATGTAACACTTGTTATATGTTAAGCAGGCTGCTAGGGGGCGCCATAGTGCACAGAGTGCTGGGCTTGGAATCTGGAAGGCTCATCTTCCTGAGTTCAAATCTGACCTCAGACACTCACTAGCTGTGTGCCCCTGGGCAAGTCACTTCACCCTGTTTGCCTCAGTTTCCTCATCTGTAAAATGAGCTGGAGAAGGAAATGGCAAACCACTCCAGTATCTCTGCCAAGAAAACCCCAAATGGGGTCACAAGGAGTCAGACACAACTGAAATGACTGAATAACAAATATGACAAGTACTCTGCTAAGCACTTTATAAATATTATTTCATCTAAGCCTCACGATCCTGAAAGGTAAGTGCTGTTACCATCTCTATCTTACAATTGAGGAAACTGAAGCAAGCAGAGGTTAAGTGACTTGCCCAGGGTAACCCAGCTAGTCAGTATCTGAGGTCAAATTTGAACTCAGGACTTTTCCGACTCCAGCCACACTACCATCTAACAGTCTCTAGCTGTTTCAGTATCACTTTCCATTCTTAAAAATTGAGGACCCCTCCACACCCCACTAAGAGCTTTTCTCCATGTGGTTATGTCTATGGATATTTACCATATTAGAAATTAAAGCTTCTTATTTTTGTGAAAATAGTTTTGACCTAATGGAGCCGTCGAAAGACTGCCCAGAGATGGACCACACTTTGAGAACCACTGCTCTGACTCTAAGTTAGTAAAGTGTTGCTGACCCTTGATACTCATATCAGAGGCAGAGGCTAGCCCATAACTCTTCAAGGGCAGGGGCTGTTTTGTTTGGATTCCAAGAGTCCAAAAGAGCATCTGGCAAATACTAGGCACTTAATATGTGTATATTGATTAATGATTATTATTTAATTGATTAAACCATGAGTTTTCTTACCAGGAATTTCCTATTCCAATGGAATCACTGGTTGGGATGGGGGAAAGAAAAGATATGGAAGGGGCAGAGAGAAACTAGAAGAAATCATCTTGCAATTTAGGTTAAAGTTTTTCATTTTGTTTTCATGTAGCCAAGATAGCGATCTATCTTTATGGCAGGGATTTTTGACATTGTGTGTGTATGTGTGTGTGTGTGTGTGTGTGTGTGTGTGTGTGTGTGTGTACACACCATGGACCCTTCTGGCAATCAGTCTGGTGAAACCTATAGATCCCTTCTTAGAATCATGTTTTTAAATGCATGAAAGACATAGGATTGTGGTGCAGTGGTTAGAACACTGGCCCTGGAGTTAAGAGGACTTGAATTCAAGTCCAGCCTGAGACATTTTCTAGCTGTGTGACTTAACCCCAACTGCCTCCAAAAAAAGAAGAAGAAAAAAAGACATAGCATTACGAAAGAAACCAAAAGGTTGTGAAAATAAATGTGATTTTTCCCATCCAAATTGTTGAGCCCCCTGAAATCTATCCACAACCCCTAGGGAGATGGGAGGCAGTCCATGGACCTCAGCTTGAGAAGCTCCATCTTCCAGCAAAAGGAAACAGGTAGTGCACATATACCAGGTATAATTCGTCCTCTTCAATCCAGTGGGTCCAGCCTTGGTTCATCTTTTCCCCCTTCTGAACACAGGTGAGCCTATCATTGTCCCATGTGACCAAACTCTGTAGGAAGAGAAAGGATGAGGTTTGGTCTGGGCAGCATGCGTCTGGGCCAAAGAGCTCTTGAGTATCAGATGTCAGTGATGTTCCATCCTTACCTTGCATTTTCTGTTATCTAGGCCTTTGGTATCCTCATCAAATTCTTCTCCAACTTTAAACTGGATAAGGTAGTTCCGGAAGGTGCTGAGTGTATGGATGGTGAAGCTGTCGCCATTTTGTTTGATCACTTTCTGTGACTTCGCCATCTTCGCTATCTTCCGTGTGGCAAAGTCAATGCCTTGAAAATAAATGAAGAAAAATCTCAATTTTGGCTGATTTGAAGGCAGGTAATCATTTGGCAGCTGACTCAAAAACATTCTAGGGGGTTCACCCCCAAGAAAGCCAAGGCAATTTGTTGCCAATACCAGATACTTGTGGAAAGTTTCAGGTCTCACCTCTGTCAAGAGATCATCGGGTTAAAATTGTTTTTACATGTAACTGGGGGAAAACAAAATATTAAACTAAAAAAAGAGGTCAGCTGAGGGAAAGCAAGTGAGAATAGATGGTAAAGAATCCTGAAGAGGTTAAAGAGCAGGGGTACTTCATCTTTTTTTCATGTCCCAGGCCCCTTGGGTAGTCTGGTGAAGCCCATGGACCCCTCAGAATCTTGTTCCTAAATGCACAGAATAAAATGACAGTGTGTCCTAAAAGTCCTGTGCAGCTTGCACTAAGACTTTTGGAACACCTTGTATACAGGATTACAAAGGAGATCAATTCTATTGAAATATAATTATCAAAATATTTTAAAAACAATCTCATGGACCCCAGGTTAAGGATTTCAACCACAGAGGAGGAGCTCAGGAAATGTTTGAATGTGGTAGATCACAGGGGACAGTGTTTCTGGCAGACAGAGGAATTCGGCATTCCCCCTACCAGATCTCTGGGAACCAGGAGTCCATGATTACATTTTGGTTTTGTTTTTGTTTTTTTTTTTTGTTAGGCAATGGGGTTAAGTGACTTGCCCAGGGTCACACAGCTAGTAAGTGTTATGTGTCTGAGGCCGGATTTGAACTTAGGTCCTCCTGACTCCAGGGCCAGTGCTCTATCCACTGTGCCACTTAGCTGCCCCCATGATTACGTTTTGAAAAGACACTTTCTCCTATCATCACCACCACCACCACCACCACCACTGTCATCATCACCATCAGTCATCAGGTCTAGCATTTATATAGCATTTTAAGGCTTGTGAAGCACTTTCCATATGTTAACTCATTCTCATCTGGAAGGACAGAGAGAATGGACATCTCCTGAGGTATGAGCAACATGCCTGGCTTTTGTTGTTTGTCTTAACTTATTTGTATAAATTCACTTAGTAATTTTTATTGATTTTTGTTTTCACATCTGGGCTGGAAATTTCATTTTGGGATCTCTTTCAGGAGGTGATCAGTGGATTCTTTCCATTTCTATTTTACCCTCTGGTTCTAGAATATCAGGGCAGTTTTCCTTGATAATTTCTTGAAAGATGATGTCTAGGCACTTTTTTTGATCATGGCTTTCAGGTAGTCCAATAATTTTTAAATTATCTCTCCTGGATCTATTTTCCAGGGCAGTTGTTTTTCTAATGAGATATTTCACATTGTCTTCTATTTTTTTTATTCTTTTGGTTTTGTTTATTGTTTCTTGATGTCTCATAAAGTCATTAGTTTCCACTTGCTCAATTCTGATTTTTAAGGAACTGTTATTATTATTATTATCATTGCTTTTTGGTGAGGCAATCAGAGTTAAGTGACTTGCCCAGGGTCACACAGCTAGGAACTGTCAAGTATCTGAGGTGGGATTTGAATTCAGGTCCTCCTGACTCCAAGGCCAGAGCTCTATCCACTGTGCCACCTAACTGCCCTGGAATTATTTTCTTTAGTGAGATTTTGTACCTCCTTCTCCATTTGGCCAATTCTATTTTTTGATGAGTTCTTCTCTTCAGTGAATTTTCATGTATCTTTTTCCATTTGGCCAATTCTGCTTTTCAAGGAATTCTTTTCCTCACTAGATTTTTGAACCTCTTTTGCCATTTGGCCTATTCTGTTTTTTAAGGCGTTATTTTCTTTAGTATTTTTTTGTGCCTACTTCACCTAAAGACTTTTTTTTTTCATGATTTTCTTGTATCACTCTCATTTCTCTTCCCAGTTTTTCCTCTACTTCTCTTACTTGATTTTAAAAATCCTTTTCGAGAGGCAGCTAGGTGGCGCAGTGGATACAGCACCAACCCTGGAGTCAGTAGGACCTGAGTTCAAATCCGGTCTCAGACACATAACACTCACTAGCAGTGCAAGTCACTTAACCCCAACTGCCTCACCAAAAAAGAAAAAATATATATAAATGCTTTTTGAGCTTTTTCATGGCCTGAGACCAATTCATAATCTTCTTTGAGTCTTTAGATGCAGGAATTTTTGCTTTGCTGTCTTCTTCTGAGTGTGTGTTTTAATTTTCCTTGCCACCATAGTAACTTTCTACGGTCAAAATTTTTTCCTAGTGTTTGCTCATTTTTTCAGCCTATTTCTTGACTTTTAACTCTTTGCTAAAGTGGGACTCTGCTTCCAGGGTGGTGGGTGCACTGGGCCAAGCTTTAGGGGTTTTGTGCAGCTATTTTCAGAGCTAGTTCTGGGGATCTATAAATTTTCAGTCCTTCCAAGGTAGTATGATCTAAGGAGAGGTGTGTTTACTACTCTCCTGGCCTATGATCAAGTTTGTGAGTGACCAGAAGCACTCTTCTTCCCTGGAACTGTGATGAGGGTCTTTGCTGAAGACCCTGCAGCAGCAAGCTCTGGTGTGCTAATGTTCCTCCTTGCCCTGGGACTGCCACCCAGGACTCTGACCCAGATCTGAGCATGGGCAAAGCAATAGAGTCCTGCCTCAGTGGTAGCAAAAAGCCCCCTGTAATCTCCTTTTCTTTCTTTTTTTTTTTAAAGGCAATTGGGGTTAAGTGACTTGCCCAGGGTCACACAGCTAGTAAGTGTCAAGTGTTTGGTCTGAGGCTGTATTTGAACTCAGGACCTCTTGACTTCAGGGCTGGTGCTCTATCCACTGCACCACCTAGCTGCCCCCTATAATCTCCTTCTAACCAGTTGTTCAACCCCTTTACCATCTGTGGGCTGAGAGCTCTGGAAGCAGCTGCTGGCACTGCTGATTCAGGCACTCCCAAGGCCTGCTCCTGGTTTAGTGGGGCCTGGTCTGCACTGGCATGGCCTGTGCTGAACTGTGCTCCACTCTCATTGTAGTGTGATAGACCTTTCTTACTCACCTGCCAAGTCTCTCCAAGAATTGTTTTATGGCATTATTTAAAGGTGTTCATAGGGGTTTGGGGGAAAGTTCAGGCTAGTTTCTGCCTTTTTTTTTCAGCCATCTTGGCTCAAACCCCTCCCCCCCAACACACACACCTTAACATTTTTAAAAATTTTGAGTTCCAACTTCTCTTTCTCCCTCTAATCCCTCCCCACCCATTGAGAACACAAGCAATATATCAATTATGCACGTTAAGTCACATATATGTGTATTGAGCTATATGTATACCCCCATCAGTATACATATACAATATACCTACACATACATCAATATATATTCATCAACACACATATATGGGGGAGAGATATATTTGGAAATTAAGGTGCTATAAAATATACATATACACATTCATTCACACACATATATATGTATATATACTCACACAAATATACACATATTTCCCTTTCTATGGTACCTAGCACATAGTAAGAGCTTAATAAATGCTTCTTCCCTTGCCCCCTCCTCCTACTTAGCAAGGTATGGCTTATAACAAAGATTTTTTGAAAAAAGAGAAAAAAAAATTCAGAACACCTCCTCCCACACACATACTAGCCAAGTCTATACACTTTTCAAATATACTTAAATCTTTTTTCAAAGCATGAAGTAGTTTTCTCATAGGTATGCAATAAAGGACATAAATCTGTTAAAATATGACTTCAGGTGCCATCCAGCTTTGTTTCATTGGTTTTCCTCAGCTGTTAGCAATGATACTACTTTAATTAACTATATCTGGACCCTAGGTGGCATAATAGATGTGTGTAGGACCATCCAGGTGGTGAGCCTAGGAGCATACTGACCATACAGTGATCTTTGTTAGTCTGGCTTCACCAACTAGACTGTGAGCTTTGATCTAATGGAGACCAGTTATTCACACAGGTATTAGTCCAGAATTTACCAGTTTGGTGATGCTTCTTTGCACTTGGCTCTTATGGAACACTTATGGGAAAGACAGAATGGGAAGAAAAATGTAACATTATCCACTTTGCACTATGTGGGATAAAGAGCCATGCGCAGGATTGAGCTGCATCTTCCAGGATTCTGGTGGGATATGGATGGTGGCACTTTGAAACGACGGGATGCTTGTAACCAGCCTCACTGTGTTTCTTGCTTAGTTTGAGGAATGAGAGACAAACAGGGGTCTGATCTCCTCCATCTGCAGTCAAAGCTGCCAGTCGTTTTTTTATGCTATTTACCTTCTGATTGGGTTTACCCACCACCATCCCTCACATTGTCATCTGTGTCCTATGTTCAGTTATAACCAACAAAAATCCAGTGGTTGCCAAATCTTCACTTGGTGTGATTTATAATGGCGGCTCATAAGTATGCAGGAAGAGGTTTTAATTCCTTTAGAGAGATGGAAAACACATTCCTGCACTCCTGAGCTAAGGTGCTGGGGGTTGGGAATGGGTAGTAATGGACGTGGAGCCCATATGCAAGTCCCACAAACAAGTAATGTCATGCCTGTAGGCAAGAAAATAAGCATTTATATAGTGCCTACTATATGCCAGGCACTGTGCTAAATGTGTTTTTTTGGGGGGGGGGTTGTCTTTGCAAATATTATTTCATTTGATCTTATGAGAACCCTGGGAGCTATTATTATTCCCATTTTATGGTTGAGCAAACTGAGGCAGACAGAGTTGTGTGACTTGCCCAGGGTCACATAACTAGTAAATGTCTGAGACTGGATTTGAATTCAGGTCTTCCTGACTCTAAGTCACACACATTCATGTGCCCACCTACACTGTCCTATCTAATAACAGCATGCAATTAAGTGGCATGAGTGGTATGGACAGAAAGCACTATTTTTAGGAGGTTAGAAGAAAGAAGGAGGTCATTATGACTAAATGTGTTAAGGTTCATAAGGAGGCACAGAAAAGGGTTGGTGGTATTGTGGAATTCAGGCAGGTAACAGCATGGCACAGTGGAGAGACTGCCAAACTGGAGTCTGGAAGACCTGGGTTCAAGTCCTGCTGGTTTGATGGGTACCCATGAGCAAATCCCTTTACCGCTTACTGAGGAATGGCTCACATGCAGCCGTGGATGGAGTATCCATTCTCTGCAAGCCGCTCACACCAATGAAATCATGGCTCTGGACCCAAAACCAGAGCACCAGTAGAGGTACTGAGACTGAATTAAGGAGAGATATTTGAGGGAAAAGGGAAATAGAGCTGCCTGGCTCAAAGAGGGGGCCCTAAGTTAAATGATATCAAAGAGCAAGACAAGGGAGCCATGATGCTTTAAGGTTTGCAAAGGATTTTTAAAGTATTTCATTTGATCCTCTTTGGGAGGTAGGTGGTATTATTATCCCCATTTTAAGTATGAGAAAACTGAGGAGAGCCAGGGTCACTCAGGTCTTTCTGACTCCAGGTCCAGCACTCTGTGCACTATGGCGCCACCTAGGTACCACTTTAAAACTTTGGCCAAAGAGCTTGGACTTGTTTCTGGGGCATTAGGAAGTGGAGGCATTGAGTTAGGATCTCCAAAACACCACTTAGGAACCGATGTTTATACAGAGCACTTTGAAATTTGCAAAGTGTTTTACATTGCATTATTTTATTTGAGCTTCAGTTCAGTGAGGCAGATATTGCTGGTAACTAATTATTTTCTTCATTTTACTGATGGAAAAATAAGAATTGACAAGTTATCTGATCTTCCCAAGGTTACACAGCTATTAAGTGAGGCTTTCTGGGATATGAACCTAGGTCTTCCTGATTCCAGGTCCAGGGCTCTATCAACCAAGTGCATTGGATATCAGAACATATCTATAAGCTGGGAAACCTTTAGGAAGCATTCAAATACTTCTAATCATTTCCTAGGTAGCTTAGTGGTGCAGTGGGTAGAGTGTTGGATCTGAAATAAAATATACCCCATGCACTTCCTAGCTGTGTGACCTTGAACAAGTCACCTACTTTTCTGTAGGAGCTTAGAAAAATAGCAGGGAGAATACAGGAGCCAGATCATTTGGGCAGCAGGCAAATGACTCCCTATTCAAGAACTAAGATCAATCTATCATAGAATTTGGATTTTTCCACCCTGGTCTTAGAGACAGCTCTTCTTCCTCTGCAGTTTACTAATAGGTACCACATAGCTGTGCTCTTAACCTGTGATGTATTTTATGCCACTATTTCTTAACAGCAAGCTTTAGTAGCCAAGGAAAACTAAAAATCTTCACCATCTGTACAAAAAGCTAGGTGGGAGCCAGAAGCTCCACAGCGAGTAGAACAATTTTAATAATGTCTCACATTTCATGACAAAGAAAGTATAAAACCAAGACTCTCTCTGCCCTTGGAGAAATAAATCTTAGCTTCATTTTTTAAAAAGGTCAGGGGAAGAAAGAGGAAATGAGATTAGATATTACAGTCCATCAGAAACAGCATTAGACTTTTGGCTTCCACTTAGCTAAGCCATTTATGTTTGTTTCTTCTTCATAGAGTAGGAGAAAAAGGTTTGTGGAGGGAGCTGGGAGGGGGAGGGGACCTAATCCTTTTTGTATATTAATTCATCAGTTCTTTAACAGCAGACAAAAACTAAATTAGGCTAAGCGTAGGAAAGACGTGGGTTTACTATAGTAACAGGAGCAATGTGCTCATATACATTTCATTTAGAAACTGATTCAAGAAGTTATTTGGGAAATTAACAAGTTGGTCAGAAGACTTGTGTCTATTTCACAATCAGAAGGTAAATAAAATACCTTTTAAAAAGCTTTACCCTACATTCTTGATGAAAAGACCAGAGTTGAATACAAAATTTGACTTTCAAATGCAAGACTCAAGTGAAACATGGAAAAGGTAATAAGGAAAGAGAAGTCATAAGAGACTTATTAAGGTTGAATTGTTTACATTCCTGCATCAAAAGATGATATTTGTAACTCATGAGTCCTTTGTCAGTATTAGGGTAGTGGGAGGGGAAAAAATATATGTATGTATAGATAGATAGGTAGATAGATAGATAGAGGGCACAGGGTGAGTTGAAGATGAAGGGGTGATATCTGGAAAATAAAATTAAGGGATGAGAGAGGATTATACTGGGAGAAGGAGAAAGGGAGAGGTAGAATGGGGTAAATTATCACACATGAAACAGACAAGAAAAGGATTTTTACAGTGGAGGGGAAATGGAGGAAGGTGAGAGGGAATAAGTGAATCTTATTCTCATAGGATTTGGCTTAAGGAGGGAATAACATACACAATTGGGTATGGAAATCTATCTTACCCTACAGGAAAATAAGGGGGGAAGGGGACAAGAGAGCAGGGGGTTGATAGAGGGGAGGGCAGATTAGGGGAGGGGATAATTAAAAAAAAAGCTTTACCCTAAAGTAACATAATGATGAACTATACTATTTTAGAACCTGAATGATCCCATGAGACTATAAACTTCTCGAGGGCAGGGACTTTCATTAATTTTTGGTCTTTCTTTGACCCAGAAATGGGTACAGTTTCTGACACAAAATAGGAGCTTAATAAAGGCTTGTAGTATTGGATTCAAGCTTGATCAGAAAGTCAGCTCCAGTATTTTCCTAAAGAGTCATCAAGAGAGGTTAATTTTCAAAACCAGGGGGAAGAAGAGGGAGTTGGATTCCAAGGGGTGTGTGTGTGTGTGTGTGTGTGTGTGCTCTGACTACTTAGGATCAGAGATTTAGAACTGAAAGAGTCCTCACAGGCCATCCTATCAAAATCCCACCTTTTACAGATGACAAAACTGAAGTCTGTGTTAGATAACTTACCCAAGGTCAGATAAGTAATACCTAAGCATCTGGGAGAAAATGTGAACCTAGAATCTCAGATTTTAGATCTAGGGTTCTTTCCACTGTAGCATACTGCATCTTATCTATTTATCTAAAATCTAGATTTTTATCTAGAATCTAGATTCTAGGCGATAGATAGATATCTAGATAGATAGGTACTTCATCGCCCTCTGAACCTAGATCCTTTGTGAATGTTTTCCTAGGCCCTCTGGAAATTAGATAAGGGCTAAAGCACTGAAGATGTCGTATCTGTTACTAGCCCAGAGCAAAGAAAGGCAGATTTCAAACAATAGCATGGAAAAGGCCAGGAGGGTCAGAGGCCACTCACCTGCGTTCTCTGCATGCCCTGGGTGGAAGCAGACCGGCTAGCACCCGAGTTGCTGCCTCCTTCATGGGCTACTTTCCCCTAGGCTAAAAGGGCACATCGTTTGTTTAGAGGAGACTGGCTCCTTTTAGGCTTTTTAAAAACTCTTCGGGTCCTATTATAAGGGAGTAAGTCCCCCTAGGCCCCCCACTAGGGAGAGGAAGAGACAGAGACAGAGACAAAGACAGAGACAGAGACAGAGAGACAAAGACAGAGAGACAAAAAGAGGAGACAGAGACAGAGAGAAACAGAGAGTGAGAGAGACGGGGGGGGGGGGGGGAAGGAAAGAAAGAGAGAGGGAAGAAAGAAAGAGACAGAGAGAGACAGAGAGAGAAAGGGCAGGCAGGAACGAGGTCATTCATCCCCTTGCCCCTAAGGCTTGGCAAGGTTAGCACCAGGACCAGAGGGTACGCCGAATGGGGTACGCAGCTCGCGGACCAGCACTCCCAGGGTGCCTCCACTCCCACCTCGAGCACATCCCTCCCCTCACTCCCCTACCTAGGGCCAGCATGTAGCCCTCGAAGTTTGCATTGCTGACCATGTTCCAGGTGCCACTGAGGTCCACGGGCATGGCTGGGGAGCAGAGTGGAGCCAGCCAGCAACTGAATGACACCGGCAGCGTGGGCTGCGGGTGGTTCAGCCCTATATGGGAGTGTGGCGGTGGGGGCGTTACAGGGAGGGAGGAACATTGACTGGGAGCCCCTGGAAACAGGTGGGCGCGGTGAAAGAAAGTTGGAACTGGGGGAGAGCAAAGGAGAAGAAAGTTCAACGGCTGTGAATGTAGTCACTCAGGAGGGCATGGAGAAAGAGTCTGGACGCCCTGGGAGTTAAGACCGCTTCTCCCTGGCCTCCTCCAGAAGCGAGCTTAGGAGCCGCGGTGGTGCCTGAAAGGAACACAGGTATCAGGAGCCCTGGATTTAAATCTCCCTTTTGCTGCATACGGGCTTTGGACAAATAATCCCTTCCCCTTTCCGGGCTTTAGTGTCCTCATTCGTATATAAAATGAGGGAAATCGACGAGATGGTCTCTAGAGAGGCGTCCAATGGGAATGTTGGTATATTGGACAGAATATTGGATTCGGAATCTGAGGAGCCTGGCTCCAAGCTCCTCTGCTTCTATCGGAAGCGCAGGTGGGTACCTGTGTGACCTTGGGCATTGCTGTAAATCAGACTTGTACCCTAGACCAGCACTATTGCAGGGGACATAGAGATAGAATTCTAGTCTGATAGTCCTCTTGGAGATATGTGAGGGAAGGAGAAAGCACCCAGCCTCTGCTCTTCTGCTCCTCTTCTCAGGAAAGAAATCTCAATCCTCTTTAGAGAGAAGTGAGCTAGATTACAGAGAGATCTACCATGCCACCTGTGAGCTGTATATTTTTTACATTTAGGCAAGCCATGTGTGTGTATGTGTGTATGTATGTGTGCATGCATGTATATATAATCTATTACATGGCTTATTTGCAATTCATTCAACAAGCATTGATTACATACCTATGTTCCAGGCATGGTGCTAGGCCCTAGGGATACAAAGAAAAATAAAACCATTTCTGCCCTCAGGGAGCTTACATTCTATTTATTCCATAAAACAGCATGCACATGGACAAGTAGACACAAGGCAATTTCCAGAGGGAGGGAACTAACAACTTAGGGAAATCAGGACAACGTTCCTTTAGGATGTGTTTTTTTAATTTGTTGAGGTCCTACTATGTGCAAAGCCTCATGTTAGGTTCTTTGATTGTTCAGTGAAAGGCTCTCTGAAATCTTGTGTAACAGTTGCTCTAACTCACTCTCCCAGAGGGAGACTGGCTACATATTCCCATCAAAGTTCTAGGGGTACCTTTGTGGGGTTAGGGGTATCTTTCTCTAATGCTTGTGTCCTTATTCCAATCACTATTAGCTGCCAGTGACCAGTGGCACAGTTCCATTTAGTCAATGAACAGAAATTAGCTTTTCCAAAAGGATGTTTACTTCTAAGATATAGCCAGAACAGAATAAGTACAAACATTTCTCCCCAACACCTCAGGGTCATACTCTTTCTTATGCCACTTTAGTCTCTGGGGAGAGTGTTCAGATTTAGTGCAGTTTCTATCTAGCATTGGTCCCACCAAGGTCACATCCAAGCATGGACTCTACTCTGAGACATCCTGGTGACTCTCTTGACTTTTTTTGTTTGTTTTTTGTTTTTTTTGGTGAGGCAATTGGGGTTAAGTGACTTGCCCAGTGTCACACAGCTAGTAAGTGTCAAGTGTCTGAGGCCAGATTTGAACTCAGGTCCTCCTAACTCCAAGGCCAGAGCTCTTTCCACTGTGCCACCTAGCTGCCCCCAAGACCCAGATTCACGAGTCACATTTTGACCTCAGATGAGAAGGGTCCAAGGCCTTTTCCCTTTCTGCTTTGTCTCTTTTCTCTCTCCAGAATGTCATCAGGCAGAAAGGAGCCAGGCAAAAGAAAAGGATGAGGTTCTGGTCCACCATTGTCTCTCTCTCTCTCTCTCTCTTTTTGCGAGACAATCAGGGTAAGTGACTTGCCCTTGGTCACACAGCCAGTAAGTATCATGTGTCTGAGGCCAGCTTTGAACTCAGGTCCTCCTGACTCCAGGACTGGACTTGATGGTCTCTGAAGGCCCATCCAACACTGAGATTTTGGGAAAAAGAACTTCAGTTTTAAATTCTGGGAAATAGAACCTACATTTATATTCTGTGCTCCTATTAGCAGATACCCTGACCTCTGGTCCCTCTCATTCCTTCTCATACTGTTTTAACAGTCGAAGTTCATTGTCATTTCTATCTTAGACATCAGAGAGAAGCCCTCTTTTCATTCTGCTCCTTGAAGGAGGTTTGGTGATTTCACATAAATGTATATAAATACATATACACACACATAATACATACATGCGCATGTAATGCACACATGCATATATGCACATATAATATATATACACACATACACATATGTGTAATATATATATATATGTAAAATCACAAGGTCTTAGTAATGAAAAGGTACAACTTAATTACTAATTTTCTTCTGATCCAGTGAGTGCACATGACTTATGCATTTGGAAATGGATTACCCAATAACCAGTGACCAAATAATAAGTGCATGACTTTTAAAGTGTTGAAGGTCCATATATGTTTGCCTAGGTGTTGCCGTACATTGACCTCTATGTACACAAAACTGAACTACTCACTGAGTAAATGCAGATAATGTTTACTTGATTTTGGAAACTCCTGTTCAGAGAATTAACTAGCACTAGGCAATGGGGCTTTGTCCCAGGGTGCCAACATTGGCAAAAGGCATGCTTCTTTCTGGGAGCTGTCACCATCTCTTCCTAAGTTCTCCACTAACTCATGTTGCCACAACTGTCCCTGGGTTGCCACTTCTTTCTTCAGGCTCACTTTGCTCCATTATTCCCATTGGCCAAAGGGCAGAATCATTGGAGGACAAGCTCTCTCCCAGCGTAGCAACCCAAGGTTGTTTTGTCCCCATGAAAATAGTCTCTTCCCTCTCTACTCAAATGAATTTGCTTTCAATACAAGCATTACTAGTTTTATCTCTGCCCCTCCTAAGTCCATATAGCACAGAAGGTAAACATGAATCAAGCAGAATGAGCAAGAATGGATTTATGTTGTATTTGGTCACAATCATTTTCTTCCTCAGGTGTGATAATTTATTGGTGAATGGCTAGCAAACTTTGTCCTTCTCCTCTTGGAATCACTGTGTGTCAGACTGTGTAAAGCAAAGGCTGCCTAGGTAAAGATTCCTTTTCTTTGCTACCATTCTCTATCTTCTCATCCCCAGCCACCTCAGCGTTAACCCCCTTGGGGTCCCTTATCCACTCTGCTGTCCTTTTCAATTGTAGACTCTCTCACACTCCCCATATCCAATCAGTTGCGAAGTCCTATTGATTTTACTTTTGTAACATCTCTTGAATATGCCCCCTTCTCTTCTCTGACCCTGTCTGACTCTGGTGCTGCCCCTCATCATGTCACACTGGACCACTGCAATAGTCTGCTGGGGGATCTGCCTGCCTCAAGTCTCTCCCCACTGTAGTCCACCTTCCACTCAATTACCAAAGTGATTTTTCCTAAAGCACAGGTCTGACTACGTCACTCCCTGCTTTAAAAAACTGGTGTCTCCCTATTACTTCTGAGATCAAATAGAATATCCTCATATTTAGGCTTTTTAAAGCCCTTCACAACCTGCCTTTATGCCTTTCCTTTTCAGACTTGTTAGACCTTATTCCCCACCATACCCTCTGTGATCGAGTGACACTGGCTTTGATGTTCCTCATACAAGACACTCCGTTTTCTCTGTAGCAATTTAAATTTATTTGGAATTTGGACTAGTTTGAAAGAGATTATGAAGTGGATAGAGTATTGGATTCAGAGTTGCAAGGACGTGGGTTTGAATTTTGCTTCAAACACTCCCCGTGTGACCTCGAACGAGTCAATTAATCTCTCTGAGCTTTAGATTTTTCTTTCTTTATAAAATGTGGACGACGCTACCATCACTACCTACCTCCCAGGGTTGTTGGATGAGAAGTGCTTCACAACCTTTAAAGTGAAATGCAAACTATGCACTTAGGGAGATGTGCTTAATAACGCTTGCATGGGATAATTGGAGGCAAAGAACATTTGAAGCATGATTAATATCATATCATTTTAGAAGCAGTAGGAAGGAAAAGGAGGAGGAGGAGGAAGAGGAAGAAGAAGAAGAAGAGAAAGAGGAGGAGGAGGAGCTGTTATTTATATAGCACTTGGAAGATTTGCAAAATGCTTTAGAAACATTATCTCATTTGATCTACACAACCCCGGGAGGCAGAGGTTATTATTATCCCCATTTTACAAATGAGAAACTGAGGCACAGATTAAGTGACTTGGACAGGATCACACTGCTAGCGAAATCTGAATTCACGTCTTCCTGCATCTAAGTGTAGTGTATAGTTAGCATATAGTATTCACTGTACTACCCTGACACATTTTAGAATGGGAAGAGATCTTAAAGGCCACTAAGTCCAATCCCCTTATTTTACAGATATTAGGGGTCATAGGATGGAAAATGATTTATCCAAGGTCACACAGCTAGTTAGTGGCAGTCAGATCTCAAACTCCTAGTCCAATGATCTTTCCAATATATCATGCTAAATTTGAAATTGGCATCCTTTGAAGCACCGCTCCCATAGGAGATGCCACCTCCTCCAGAAGGCTTTTCCTGTCCCCCTCAATGTTCTCCCCGTTAGAATGAATATGTATATATTTTATACTTTTTATCTACGTTGCGTGGCCCAATTGAATGTAAGGGCAGTGAGTGTACAGCCTCGCACAGTGCCTAAGTGTTTGTTGAATTTTATTAGATTGTTTTTAGGGAAGAGTGGAATGGGAAATAAGTGAACATTTTCCTAATGAGAGGGAAGGTTTTCATTTTGAAGAGCCCCGAGTAGCATCACATAATCCCTCGAGTGAGGTTGTTAGCTTTCTAGTTAACTAGAGCTTCATTCCTTGAATGTAGGGTCTGTTGGGTTGAAAGTACTGGAATTGGACATTACTCAATTGTTTAAAGAAAAAGAACTGTGAACTCTGACCGGATTTCTGGGACAGTGGTTGGACTTATTTTCATTCCTGAGAACCGTGTGTAAGAGGATGCTGAGATATTGCACGTACTTCCTTTCCCTGACCTATTGTTCCAAAACTTGGCCAGAACACGAACGAGACACAGATACAAGTTGCAGTTTTAGGTGAGTAGCTTGTGGCCAACTTGACTAGGGCATAGCTGAAGAAATAACACGGACAACAGATCTGCAGCCAGAAGGGCCCTCAGAGGCCATCTAATCCAGACTCCTTCATTTTAGAAATGGAGAAACAGAGGCCCAGAGAGGTCAAGTGATTTGCCCAAGGTCACAGAGATAATAACTGGCAGAACTAGGCCTCAAAACCTGGTCCTCTGACTTCTAATCCAGGGCGTTTTCCTAGCACATTTCCTCACTCTCTAAACTGTGCCCTATTATCCTGAAGCAAAGTCGGACTTGCCCACAGGGTCGTATTAAATGCTCTGACAGCCACCCTGTGAGGCAAGGAGGACTGATGTTATCCCCATTTTATAGATGAGGAAACTGAGGCTTGGAAAGGTTCAGTGAGGTAAGGAGTCTTTCACTCCTCTGCAGTTCAGGCATGCTTTCTCTGAAGAAGCAAGGGCACCTTGGTCACATTCTTATCAGAGCTCTTGCTTTCCCTTGGCCTGAATACACTCCGTCATGCCCTGCTCTGCTAAGCAGTCTAACTGTAACTCTTCCTGGACTCAGGTAAGGCTTGACTGCTGTTTGTGCCTGTTGGTGTAGTTCAGCCACTTGGAGCCTGATGTCAGCACAGCAGCAAAGGATTAGTTAGGCTACCTCCCATGGGCATCCGCTGGTCTAGTTCAATCTATGTGTTAAGGAGGTTGAAATGATGTTCAGTCTCTATCCTGGATGTATGATATGTTAATTATTAGTTGTTTTTTTTTTTTGCTTTTTTTGGTGAGGTGATCAGGGTTAAGTGACTTGCCTAAGGTCACACAGCTAGTAAGTGTTAAGTGTCTGAGGCTGGAATTGAACTCAGGTCCTCCTGACTCCAAGGCCAGAGTTCTATTCACTGCACTACCTAGATGCTCCTAATCATTAGCATTTTGCTGTCTTTTGGAGCAATGACTGATGATTACAGCCTGGGGCTTATTCTCATACAGCACAGTCTGAATCACTGAAACACTGAGTCTCTGAAGTTGCCAAAGGACCTGATGACATCCGTCCCTCATCCATCCATTTCTTGTAGGAGAGGAAGCTTGGATTCAGAGGGCACCAGCTAGGGCCCAGCGTTCTTACTGCTCTACCATGCCGCTTCTACTCTCAAGGCGGCATCGACAGAAGTGTCATTTAAATTTTAAAAGGTCCTCTTAGGGCACCCGTAGAAGAGGGGGCGACCTTTTCCAGATCTGGTTAGCCACTCTTTAGTATTTCCCTTCTGTGAGCAACAACAAAAAGAAATCACTATTTCAGAGATGAAAATTAATTATCCACACCTTTGCACTGAGTGGCCTCAGCAGCAGGTGGAAGAGATGAATGCTATAGGCCCATGATTTCTGGAATGAGCATGAGAAGGGGGCCAGATTTGGATTTAACAAGATTCTGAGAAATATTTTCAAGGAGCTAACTTTGTGACACAAAAGCCTTCCCAGTGCTTTGAGAAGTGGTGTCTTTTGCTGTTTTTGTGGGAAGAAGAGGTAGGGGTTGGGAAGGTAAATGAACCTTACCCAATGGGGGATAGCAGAAGATGGGAGGTGATGAAGCCCAAATTATTTTTCTAACTTTCTCAAAATTTTGATAAAATAGAATTCAATTTATTTAAGTCTGTATTCAAAATCACCAATTACACAAGTAAACAATGTACAGATGAAAATTTTTCTGACATAAGACTACTCAGTTTATCCCTACTTGAATTATACAATTATGAAAAAAAAACCTAATAATCCAGCAATATGACAAACAGATCCTCACAAATTCACATTATTCCCACTGTCCTTTGACATAATTTTATTTAAAAAAAAAGACTTATTTTCCCCTCTCCCTAAATGAACTTGTGACATTCATTAATACTCATTGCCCTATGGACATAACTGTTACAATCTCCATTATTTAGATGGGAAACTGTCCTTGAGGACACTCAAGGCTCTGCCATGCAGTTAGCAACATCCTAAGATAATGAGCTTGGTTAATGTTCCTGCTATACAATGTGTGCTGATGTCCTAGAAACATCACAATAACAAGGTAATTCCAGCCTGGCTAAGTCTTTCGAAGAGGTCATGCAAGCCTCACACGGACTCCTAAGGTCGACACATTCAGGGCTTTCCACTGGGCACTGTGGGAGATGGCAGAATTTTCTCCTGACATCTGAGTAACAGAATTGTTGCTCCACTGTGGCTTTGGAGTTGAGAAGAGATGGGGGAGTGAAAATCGTGAGCATCAGTGTTCTGTTTCTGTATCTCATCTAACTCCCAAATGATGAGAGGACATTTCTTCTCAGGGCAGAAAACCAGCAGTTATGATTGGACAGCTCCTGCTTCTTCTTGGTCAGAGCTTCTCAATGTCACCTGCAGGTACGATTCATTTTTCACTAGTGTGCTGCGGACCGTGGCAAGAACACAGCTGTAGTGACTCAGCCTACCAGATCAAGAGGTAGGTGGATATCCCGAGGCCCCAAGGCCTGTCCTTGTAATGGGGGAGGGGTGTTTCCATGGGCTACACACACTTGGTGTAGTTCATGAGGAGGAGGTAGTTAACAAGTCTAAGCTCTTCATTTCCCATCTCTGTTTCAAGTTCAGACCAGGCTGAAAGTGCAGAAAAGGCACATGATCCCAGGATGTTTTTTAGGAAACTTGAACTCTATTCCTTCTAGTTCCATTAGAGCTGGAAACCACCGTTAGGAAATACCAAGACTGTGCCATGAAAAGCCACTTCCTTTCTTCCTTTAATGACTTTTGGAGACTTACTGAGTTTTCATCTCTAACAACCCCCAAAATATCAGAGTGTTTTTTGAACAAAGTATGAGCTCACATCCAGGACAACAACCTTTGACTTCATTATTTTATGAACAATAATGTTAATGAAAATAATTTAATTTTATTCAAATTCCTATGAGAAAAATGAAACACGAGAAAACAGAATGCTGCAAGGATACAAGAGGAAATGTAGGTGATATGAAAATAAAAGCTATCAATCAATTAAAAAAAAAGAAAACTGAGTACGGTTCAAATAAATTCGTCGATTATCAACGGGAAGTTAGGGATGTTCAAGGCACATCACCAAACTTATAAGGCTGTTATCATAAATATTATCCCTAGGATATATTAGGAACATTAATCCTAATTAAATTAAAAGCTTTTGGGATAGCTAAATGGTACAGTGAATGGAGTGCTGGCCCCAGAGTGAGGAAGACCTGAGTTCAAATCCTGTCTCAGATATACATACTAGCCGTGTGACCCTGGATAAGTCAATTCATCCATCTAATTCAGTTTCTCCCTCTATAAAATGGAGTTAATAATATCAATTACCTTACAGGGGTGATGTGAAGATTCAGTGAGGTATTATTTGAAAAGCTTTGCAGACCTTAAAGTGCTATATAAATGCTAGCTAGTATCGTAATTATTTCCCCCATTCAGACCTGTGTTTTATGCAATCGGGCCATTGCAAATATGCAAGCTCCTCTCACTGACACACACAGGCTGAAGCCTGTAACTGAGCAGTCTTAAAAAGAGGGGGAGAAGGCAGGAGATCGATCCAGGATCGACTGCGTGGCCAGCAAGGATCACAGACATGACTCAGACTCGGGTCTTCTCCCCCCAGGGCCAGCCTCCTACCCGTCCATGCCATACAGTGTGTGGATACTAATTCAACATAATCTTCCGGTTATATTTTTGGCACAGCTGTGGGTGTTCAATGGAACTTTTTTAAAAGTACTGTTTTAAGAATCCTGTTCTTGAGTCACTCTGGACTAATTCAGGCTACTGAAACCAGAGGGGTTTTAGATAGAGCAATGGTCTGCTTTTGCTTGGCTGGAATAGTCAAACCAGGACCCCAAGTTCAGCTTTCTAATTGTAGCAAATATGGCATGTCCCTTATTCTGTTCACTGGGCTTTGGAATCTCTCATCCTTAAGCCGGAGAGCATCCTTCCTGATGAAACGTACTGGGGCTGCTATATGGATCCATGGAAAAGGTAAAAATCTTGGCTCAGGCAAAGTAAACTACAGTTAAAAAATTATCTCAAACTATGTCACTCACCATAGGCTGAGGTAAACTTCAGATAAAAAAGCAAAACTTGTGATTTTTATTATATTCTAACTTTTAACTCTTGTTTATGAAACAAGATCCTCTATGCTAAAACCTGAGTCACTTCACCTTCAGGGGAGGCAGTCCTGAAGGACGGCTGTGGCTGGGGGCTCGCCTACTGCTTGGCTTTCAGCAAAGGGGCCAGGATACAGCCTGTGTTCCTGTCCTCACTCTCAGAGCTGTAGAGATTGTGCTTTTCGATGTATTGCTGGACAGCCTCTGGCACCAGGTAGCGGATGCTCTGGCCTCTCCTCAGAGCGCGTCGAATCTTTGTGGATGAGATGTCATTGGTAATCCATTCGTTCACCAGGTGAATGTTGTTTCTGTGTTTCCAAAGAATGTCTGACTCATAGATAAATTTCTCGGCGTTATTTCCAGACCGGGTGATACACACGAGCCCGTACTTTCCCACGATGGTGGCGATATCCTCCAGCTTCCACAAGTTGGGGACACCAAAAGACTCCAGAAAATCTGCCCCACACAGCAGCTTCAACTGTGGCGGGCCTGGGGAGAAGAACAAACGAATGGTTTTTAATAGGAATTTCTCGATTGTCTCCTACCTCAACAAAGCTCCTTCCTTAGTTTCTCAAACAGAAGCTGGAAACGTGGACTTGGTTTACCCCTCACACCGAGGGCTGACAGAACTCCCCACACACCTATCTACGCCCCTCTCCACCTTCTCTATTAAGCCAAATAGGAAAAAGGGAATCGCCGACTGGCTCTGGGCTTTGGAAGCGACCCCGTGTTCCTCCCAGTCACAGGCCCAGCTGGAAGGTCCAGCCAATGCACTAACCCTTCTTTTGGGATGCTGATGGTTTCTGTTCACTAAGATCTTGGGCATCTCCAGTCCTCTTCCTCTTCCCTCCAGGAAGTACCAGGGAGGCAGAGTCCGGCTCGCTATCGTCAGAGTTCCTAGCTTCCAATCTCTGTTGATGGTAGCTGCAAACACGAGAGAAGCTCGTGACACACACAGACAGAAGCACTGTCTCCTCTCCTCCCCAGCAGGCCCCAGGTCAAAGGCTGAGCTCATTTCTACCACAGCTTCTGGAGCACCTTATGTGTCTGATCATCACTGGAACTTTAACAACTGCTATTCTATCTCATCCCCAACAGCAGAGTCCAAGATGATGCTAGTAACAGAACCCTCCTCTCCTGACTCAGTCTCCTACTATCTTTATTAGACTCCATTGAATGCCAAGATGCACAGTGGGGCAGGAAGACTGCGCGGAAAGAATGCACTCCCCAAAGTGATGTGTACTTACGGCCCCACGACCCAGGACGGGGCTGGCAAAGTCTTGTAGTTGTGTAGGTGGGGAGGGGGAAGTGGGCAGGAGGCTTTGGTATTTTTAAAGGTGTAGCCTTGGGTGGATCTCTGTGCCTTACATCTCTGCCTGGTCTGGTCCCTGCTCATACTGCTATCAAAGTCATTTTCATAAGGTGCAGGTCTGACCAAGTCACCTTCCTCTTTATCAAACTCCATTGGCTCCCTATCACTACCAGGATCTGCACCTCCTTCTCCTGGCCTCCCCACTGTGATTATCTCCAATTTATCCTGGCTATATCTTATTTGTATACAGTCGTCTACATGCCATCTCCCCCATCAGACTGGGAGCTCCCCGAGGGCAAGGATTGTGTTTGTCTTTCTTTGAATTCCCACTTGGCACACAGTAGGTGCTTAATAAATGCCTTGCTAACTTGAATCAACTTGCAGCTGAAGTAAAAATCAAAAGGGATTAAAATACTCAGAAGAGAGCAGAAGGAAGCTACAAAGGCAACAAAATCAGAGCCATGCTGGAACTGCTGGTAACTTTAGTATGTTCTTTTTAAAAACCAAGAGATTCACAGTTTCATATATGATCTTTTTTTTTTCTCTTTGTATATGGATGTTCGTGCTTGTTTATTTTTATCATGTTCATAAAAAATAAAGAAAAAACTGTTTAAATCAATGGACTTGTCCTGCAAATTCCTCCATTCTGTACTGTGTGACTGGATGCTCTGAGGGTTAGTTCTGCTCAGGTGCTTTCTCTCTCTTTGTACTTTGTTACAAGGGATGGTTCAATGAGTAGGAGAGGGTGGGGCATACATTCAGAAATTAAGGCAAAATAAAAACAAAAGTTATCATAGACATTTTTTAATGTTTTTTTTTTTTTTTTAAAGGCAATTGGAGTTAACTGACTTGCTCAGGGTCACACAGCTAGTAAGTGTCAAGTATTTGGTCTGAGGCCAGATTTGAACTCAGGTCCTCCTGACTTTAGGGCCGGTGCTCTATCTACTGAGCCACCTAGCTGCCCCCATCATAGACATTTTTTAAAATGTACATGCTAGGCTGAGATTCTTAAAATCTATGCTAGATTAAAATCCAGCCACTGGTCAGGTTCTTATAATCTAGCCACTGCTTACCCATGTTCAGACTCCTTAAGAGTCTGCCCAATATGACAGATGTTCTAATAAACCTTGTCTTTGGCTGAAAGAAGGCTTGGGTCGAATTCTTTCGGGCAGGACCTGCGTGTTGTGATTTTGGGGTCCCAGCACCCCTGAACCCCTAAACCGCATCATTTTGGTGGCCCAAACGGGGAAATTGCCTAACCCCAAGTTCTTCTCCAGCCAAGACTGGAAGGTATGTAAGCCTCTTCTCTCCCCTCCTTTCTTGCTCTGCAGTTGGGGTTGCTCTCCAAGCACCAAGGCTTGGAGGAACTTTTCTGGCAGACAGTTACAAGGCTGTCTAGCACCGGGCCTGATGCTCTCAGGCTCTTGGTCCACTGGGTCGGTTCAAGGCCATGGACCTGGGTACACCTTTGGCAGCATAGAGGACAAGGATGGACGCCCTATTCGGAAGCGTATCTGTTAATTCCCTCGGCGCCAGGGAATTGGGGAAAACTGCAGTTGCTTTTTGGTTCCCTGAGGCTTACTTACTCCCTTCCCTCTGCATCTCTGAATCCTCCTTCATGGAGGTTACAGGGAAAGTTAGAACAGCTAAAATATCATGGCAGATTCTGGAGGTTTTGTGATTGATTATTTTGAAACTCCTTACAACCCTGGTCACTCCTTTCTCCCACTCCTTTACCTTGAGTCAAGAGGGTATTCCTTCCCTATCTGGGAAAGGAAGGAGGGGGGAGGGGCAGCAGCTACCTCATGCGCCCCACTGGTGGTGGCCTTAGGCTCTGGGGCAACCTTTGCCTGGAAACATCACCCAGGTTCAGCACATCCTGCTCAAAGTAAAGAAGCTGGCCTCTGAGCTTGGGTAAGCATGTTCTTTTAAATTTGTAGTTTTAACTGTTAAGATGTTAATTCTCTGTGTAAAGTAATTTGGAAGTGCATTTAACAAAACTGAAGTCACCTGATTGGTAATGGATTTGTTTCAAGTTTCAAATTTGTGAACTTTCTGTTATCAGTCATGTCAAGCAACTTTTCATAATTTGGTTACTGCTAAAATAATTTATTATTGTTGTTCTAATGTGTAAACTAGCCAAAAAGCTTGTTTGGGTTATGTATGGCTTTCTAATGATTGGCTTTTTATATTAGGATAAATTTAGGTTTGAGATGTAAATCCGGGAAAAGTTTTTTCCTAAGCTGTGATTAGTAAAACTTGCTGTTTGAGGTAAAAGCTCATAGGATTTTGAGTTGTCTGATGCGTCATAATCCATTGATAATCAATAATCCACCATCTGAGAGAAATGCCACAAGCTACTCAGAGAAGGTGATACTGGTGGGAAGTCAGCATTGGGAAAAGCTGAGAGGACAATTTTAGCCTTAGTCTAAGATGGGATCCTCCTAGCTCAGTTTCCCCATTATGTTCCTTTGAAAGGGAATGTTACCTATCTGGCTATTCCTGAGTCTGGCTATGAGGTGGGTTTGATACTGCATGGTTGGAAAACTGAATTATCTGAATCCAAACACAGCTAAGGATGTTTTATCCTTTCAAAGTTGGGCTCTAAATCTAGTCCCTGTTTTATATCTGGGTCCTGCAGTTTTTTTCTGTCAGATACATGTCTTCCAGACTATGGGCCATTCACCTACAGTTGGTAGCAAACAGGGAGTACCAGCCAATGTCCCCACATCGTTCCCTGGATGCAGCCTGTGCTCAGTTCCAGTCAACCCCTTTGGGACCCCCTTGAGGCAGGGACAGCTCTATGCCCCTTGCCAGCAGGAAGCAGTTTCAGAAGCCGAGACCTTCGCCCCTTACTTCAAAAGAATTTGGGTCCCATTTGTTTGAGGGGGGAATGACAGGGTTGGGATCTGGGCCCCAGAAAGGAAAAACCCTGGACTTTCCCACATGGCCAAATCTCTAGCGGTCCCCTGAGGCTATAATCCCATCAACTGGCCTTCATTGTGGACCTCCCTATGGCCCCAGGCCATTTCTCCATTCTCCCTTGGCCATGTGATCCAGGTCCCTGGAATTCTATTACCTCACAGACTACTTGGCCACTCCTAGATCCCTCCCATAGTCTTTCTGTATATAAGGTCCATCTTGTCTCCAGTAAGATGCTGACATTCTTAAAATCTAGCCACTGCTCAGATTCCTAAAATCTAGCCACTGCTGAGATTCTTATAATCTAGTCACTGCTTACTCATGTTCAGACTCCTTAAGAGTCTGCCCAATATGACAGATGTTCTAACAAACCTTGTCTTTGGCTGAAAAAAAAAAAAACGAAATGTACATGCTCACTCTAAAACCTGAATGAGGATTCTGTGGGGGGACGGGATGGCATTTGGCTGGGCTCAGGAGGGTAGGGGACCTTGAGGGGGCAGAGGTGACAAGACTAGAGTCTGAAATTTGAGGTCTGTGACCCAAAAGCAGGATGGGGGCTCTGCAGGAGGAAAGGAGGAGAATCATGTATCCCCAGTGCTTTCACCCAAAGACAGGGAGGCAGAAGGCAGGTGGTTTCTCTGCCAAAGGGCCTAAGTCACAGGAAGAGAGGGATAAACTAGGAAAGAATCACCTTTCTTTAGGCGATAAGAAGGTGAAGACAACCCTTCTGGGCATAAGAAGGGTAGATCTGAGAGCATCTGGAATTCTACAAGTCACTAGTGGACAGTCTTGGGTGAAACAGAAACTGACAACAGATTGTGTGGGTGTGGAAGGAAGTATGAAGCCCCCAGGTGTGGGCCTCTACACAACTATCTGAATAGTGGTCCTTGTGACATGCTTCAACTGTAGAAAGGCCACATTCTGAAATTTCTTCAGGACACTGAAGATTAACTGTACACTGAGACTGTACGTGCTGGCCTGGAGCAGATACAGGGGAATGCCCCTGAAGAGGGCGCAGAGCCCCAGGGGCTTGGTCTGGGAGAGGCCCTGAATGACGGGTAACAGGGCAGGGTCTCGGTACCTACGTGAGCACTTTGGCCGTCTCTATCCACTCCTTATGCAGACTTTCCCAGGTGTCTACCTCTAGCCATTTGGAGGTCTGGGTGGCAAGCTCTGCCATCACAACTCGATGGTGGGCACTTATGAGTCCTTTCTTCTTATATGCATCACCAACAGGGGAAATGATGCCTTTAATAACATTATATTCTCCTGGGTAACAGAGTCAGAATGAAGAGCAGTTAGAATTTGTCATGCAGTGCAGGTATTTTGTGGGCAAAAATTCTGCCACACTCTGATGCCACATCATGGGAAAAGGTGATCCCGGGTACCAGAGTTCTATCCTGTCAGTTGGGCTCAAGCACTGGCAAAGCTTACCAAGATGGAAAGGCTCCAAGTTAGGGCCCAACGACAAACTATGCATCTGACACAAAAAATCCCTGGAGCATAATGTGGTCACAGCTAGTCACAAACTGTCTTTTAAGATATGGAAGGGTTGTAATCTGTATTGGTGGAGGGAGTACCCACACACACTGATAAAGGAATCCTTCAAGGAAGCAGGAATGGTGAACAATTTTCTTTAAATGGTACAACTCTTTTACTAGCCTTTGAACTGAGTGACAGAAGAATCTTTGACTAGCACGAAAGACCGAAGAATAAAAGGAGTCCATAAGATTTAGGCCAGGAGGGGGCTCAGAGACCATTTTAGTCCCTCTATCCTTGTTATTTCACAGAACACAGTGATTTGCCTAAGGCCACATAGCTGGATCTGAACACAGGTCTTTTTTCTGTCCAAAAGCTGCTGTCCTTTTCCTGTACTGCTCCCCACCCCCAACCCCTGACACTGCAAAGCTGCGGAGACTTCCAGCAGCTCTCCTCCCTGGCTTGAGAAACAGTTCACCAAAGGATTCCCTTGAAAGGACCAGATTCTTACTGCTTGATGGAGTTCAGGAATCTCTGATTGTGGCTGTCACTTAAATGATGACTTGACACCCTGCGCCCCGAGAACGGCCAGACATCCATCCCACACACCTCCTCGGGGAAGTGCTTCTCTAGCAGTCAGAAGCCGTGTGGGGGAAGACATCAGTTGATCTTGCCCGGCTCTGAGGGCTTCCTCTGCCAGGGTTGTGTCACTGAAACACACCCACGCCCACGCCCACACACACACACACACACACACACACACACACACACACAAATGCAGCCTCCCTACCCAAACCCACAGAAACACATGGGCTGCAATCCACCCAAGTGGCAGCTTAGAATCAGGGGGCTGATGGCCCCGGTGTTTGAGGACTTTATACTTCATGGTCATACAAGTGGTCATGCAGTTCAGTAAAGGAGCCTTTAGAAAATGCCTACTTTCCATTTTCTACTTGAAATGAATGTGAAGGCCAGAGACGGCCTGCTTGGAGGAGACTCCTGGGGAGGATTTTTTTTTCTTTTAGCTACACTGACACTCTTGTCTTTCTTTTTACAGTCCTGTTACTTCTAATGACTCCCATTAACCTGATCACTTCCCTTCTGCCCCACACACCCTTCCTTCATAACAAAGAAGTACAGTCAAACAAAACCAACCCATGCCCTAGCTCTGCCCCCTTCGAGCCCCCACCCCCCACACACAGAGTGACAGGCTGGGGGCATGTTTCACCAGCGATCCCCATGACTGGTCACTCTGCTGACCAGAATCCCCCAGGTGAGTCCTGATGGGGTAGCTGTCTAGGGTTCACTGTGAACAGGTCCACCCCTCAGCCCAGCGCCATGGGACCCTCTTCCTCTGGTTTTGCCAAGTACACTATAAATTGGATGTGAAGGGCAAAATCCACGGCTTGGTGCCTTAAATCAATCGATTTAATTCTGCAAAGTAGTTCATACAAAGGGTCCTGAAGCCAGGAGCCATGAATGTTCAGGGACTGAATGCTGTTGAGGCTCTTTGATTTCCCCTTCTCTAAAAGCGTAATAAAAAAATTAATTGGCCTCACTGGTCACATATGCTGACAAACAAGACCCCACTTCTTTAACAGTATCCTCACTTAAGTGTACATACTGGAGTCCAGATAGAAGGTAACAGCATATGGAACGATAAACATTCATTAAGTACTTACTGTGTACAGAGCACTGGGCTGACGGGATGGGAATGGGGGACAGGGAGAATTAGAATTATCTAAGACATCCCTGAGCTCAAGGAGCCTTGGGGTCTGTTTAGATGATGAAGCACCAACACAGGGGTCTAGAACACAGACTATTTCTCAGTAGTTATTAAATGTATTAGAGAGGCAGAACCCAGGACTATATGAGGAATGAAGGGGAAGGTCATGAACAGCCAGGGGGCCTCCCACCTGTGTGCACTGTGCAGACTGTCCCCTATGCCTGAGACACACTTTCACCTGTTTTGTTCCCCAAATATACTGGCCGCACGCCGACCTTCTGCCAGCCGTACGCCGGTACCCACTTCTCTTATAAGAAGCACACTACCAGAGTCTTACTCACACCCGAGTCTTCGGTCCTCAGCCGGATCACCACACAGAGACGAGCCATCGGGAGGCACCAACACCAGAGCTTTATTCAGAGGCCAACACAGCAAGCCATCATAGCAAGCCCAAGCAGCAAGGCCAGAGCAACAGGGCAGGAGCCAGGGGAGAGCACGTGTGATCTGACCACGCTTGTTCTAAGTACCTACCTAGCCCCTCCTCCCCAGCCCACTTACTAGCCAATGATTGTAGGGTCAGATACCGGAAGGGGCTGTCTGAGTTTAGCACACCAAGGGGGAGGGAGTGACGTAGGAGGCCAGGACCGGATATAGGAAGGAGGCATCTGGGAATGGCGCATAGACAAGAGTACGTGACCTAGGAAGTCAGACTCAGGAGGGGTCTGGGGTCAGTGCTGCACAAAGGGACCCAGGAAGTCAGGAAGGTCACAAGAGGCGTCTGGGGATGACGTTGCATATAGGGAGGGGACTAAGCAGAGGGAACTCAGTCCTCTGCCGTCCCACTCCCGCGTGGCACCGCCCCTTGCCTCAGGAGCTCAAGCTCCGACTACTTCCTTGTACCCAGCTTATCTCACAAAGCACTGCCCATTACCTCAGGGCTTCTCCGTATCCAGCCCATCCCAGTTCACCACAACTCTGTCTACCACAGCCCCTGCCTCGACTTCCAAAATATCCAGATCTTACCCTACCCTTGCCACAGCGCCCAACCTGGTAGCTGCCAACATCAGACAGTCCCTCACACCCAAATCCTTTTCTTCCTTCAAGGTTCAGCTTACGGATCACCTCCTCAGGGCAGCCTTCTGGCACTGGCCCCTTTTCCCCTACCAACTGAAAACACTGTTTACCCCATACATCTTCCCCAAGTATCTCTCTGAATGCTTGCCTTGTACCCATCACCCACCTGGAATTATACTTGTTTTCTGCCCACACCACATGAGAACATAAATTTCTCAAGAACAAATATGGGGTCCTTCTTTTGCATCCTTCTCGGTACCAAACCAGTGCCCTGCCCACTGGACCAGACTGAACCTGTGATTTCAGTGGTATGAAACTCCTAGGGAGGAAATCCCTTCACCAATGCAGATTACTACCTGCTCTGCAACTCAGAGCCTCTAAGAGGGAGGCTGGGCACCAGAGTAAAAGGACTGGCTTTGGAGTGATAGGACCTATGTTCAAACCTCACCTCCGAGGCTGACGACCTTTACAATCTCCCCTTCTCATGCCTCGGTTTCCTCCTCTGTAAAGGGAGAGGGTGGGAATGGAGGACCTCTGAGGCCCCTCCCAGCTCTTGCACTGTGTGTCTGTCATTCCAAGAACTGTCGGGAGCATGGACAGGGTCACACCATCGGGATGTGTCAGAGATAGGCCTGGAACCACAGACAGCTCGCTCCCCGCTCTGCCACATTTCCTCTCACCTCACCCAGAAGAGACTCTCACTGCTTGCTAAAGGTGTTTTCTGTGATGAGGTGATGGCATTTGAAGGCTGGGTAGGAATCTGACAAAGGAAGAAAGGTAGGGGAGGGATCCTAGGTCTCAGGCCAAAGCACAAGCCAAAGCTCAGAGGTGGGAAAGAACAGTGAGTGTCTGGGGAGCAGAAGTGTCCAGTTTGGCCCGAGCACAGTCTGTGCAGGGGACACAACGAGCTGAGGTGGGGAAGGTAAGGGGCTGCCAGGCTGTGGTGGGCCTCAAAGCCCTCCTCCAGCAGCACTCAGGGCCACAGAAGACTTCTGAGGGAAGAAGGGCCCCATCCGGGCTGGAACCCAAGCAATCACCTGGGCAAGGACAGCTCCAGCCTTGGCTGGCTGTCGATCACCCCCTTACCTGTTGCATTCATGTAGTCTTTGGCCAGCTCAAACAACCTCAGGTGCATGTTGGTAATGGGATTAAAAGAGCCACAGGCCAGAAGGACCACCTCTGTTCTGTTTTCCAAATTCTCCATTACTGGACCTGTACAAGCCACTTAGGAAAGAAAGAACAAACAAGACTGGTGAGAAGCGACACCGGGCTGGGACTTCTCTTTAAAAAATGACAACACAAAAACATGACTTCAGCTTTGTAACTTGTGAGACTGTCTACACTGACTTTATGGAGGGGAAAGGCTGGGGCCCAAACAGTCATGCCTTCTTTCTCATTTTCCAGGGCCTCATCACCTGCAGCCCGGTCATGACTGGATGACTTTTTCAGCTGTGCCCACCCATAAAACAAAGTACAAAAGGATCCTCAAGGGAAAAAGTGACCTGAGCAAGTAGTTTTTATTAATTTTTATTTTGACTTTAAGGAACTTAAAAAAAAACCCCACTGGATGCAGAACTTTATTTTAACCAATCAACAAGCACTTATTATTAAGCTAGGGTTTCTTAATCTGTGTTATTGTGAACCCCTTGAGCAGCCTGGTAAAGCCTTTGGCTTTCTTCTCAGAATGGAGTTTCGTAAAAATTCCCAACTAATGATACCCATCGTTGTGACGAGCATGTTCTGGGGTGGGGGTGGGTCATTGTCATCTTTGTCCTTTGCTTCATTGCCATCGGCCCCAATCAAGGTGTTATCACCACCGTGTTGGCAGCTGGGGCTGTGTGTGGCTATGTCTTTTGGCTGAGGGCTATTCTGGCCCAGCTCCACCCTCTCTCTGGACCAGTCACAAAGTGAAACCACATGGAATTTCACATGTCACTGGCCTTAAGGAGGAGGAGGATCTGTGCAATTCTCTGTCGTCCAGGTAAAGCAGACAAGTGCTCTAGATATTAAAGCACCTCTTAATCCAAAAACTGCCTTAACTCATCTGTTTGGAGATCAGTTGCCTTCAATATTTATACTCTATTTGAATTTTTACCTTATTCTGAAGTTCAGAATTTTTTCCTGTTACATACTTTTAAAAAATTGATTCTTTATCAGACTGCATGCCTATTGGATCTAAAGTCCATCTCTAATACACCAAAGAAATGTGTCCTCTTCTGATGAAGAAGACTGGGATTTTAGTCAGGTGGTCTATGCCCTCCTCCCTCTACCATTTACTGCATTAAAAACAAATCTGAGACTCCTACAGCAGATGAGAGGCTATAGTTTTGTTCCTCGCCAGGAGATCATGTTCAGAAAATGGAACCTAAAGATGTGGGAGCTGTATCAAGCTGTATTATCCAAAGAATTTAAAATTAAATTTCTATCTCCCTTTGAAATTCATTATTTTTTTTCCTCTTTCAACAGAAAAAAAAACTACTTTGCTATGAATTTCTTTGTGCATATCACTATTTTTCTCCTTTTGTGTTACTGCTTTGGGGGAGATGCTCCTAATTGTAAAATTACTAGGTCAAAAGGCAGAAGAAAGTCTTTCTCTGAAGTTCCACATTGCCAGAGGGCACTACACTTGGAGTCAGGAGACTTAGTTCTGAATCCCACTCCCAATACTTACTAGCCAGATGGTCATGGGCAAGTCCATTCACGAGCTTTAGTTTCCTCATTTACAAAATGGAAATAATGATACCAGTGCTACATACTTCCCAGAGCAGTTGTCAGGAAAGTGCTTTGTATGGACCCCTATGTTTGGGGCAGTGATGCGGCACAAGTGGATAGAGTAGATTCCCTGACCTGGAGTCGGAAAGACCTGAGCTCAAATATGGCCTCAGACACTTACTAGCTGTGTGTCCCTGGGCAGGTCATTGAACCTCTATTTGCCTCAGTTCCTCATCTGTGGGACACACTAGAGAAAGAAATGGCAAACCACTCCAGTATCCAGTATCTTTGCCATGGACGGGTCACAACAAGTTGAACATGACTTAACAATGACAACCTTTTTATATTTGGCCTATAAAAACAGGCTTTTTAAAAAAAATCATTAATCTTCAGAAAGACTGAACCAGGAGGCAGAGCCAAGATGACAGAGAAAAGGCAGAAATTTGCCTGAGCTCTCCCAAATTTCCTTCCAAACAACTTTAAATCATATTTCAAAATGAATTCTAGACTGGCAGAATCCATAAAAGGATGGGGTGAAACAATTTTCCAGCCCAAGATAAATTAGAAGAACTGTAGAAAAGGTCTGTTTTACTTAAGTAAAAGGGGAGTGCAGTCCAGGGCAAGCCAGTGGGAAGCCCTAGCTCCAGTACAGATCAGCAACTGAGGGTGCATGGACCTGGTGCTACAGGCCAGCAGTGAGGACTCCAGCTCCTGGCCAGGCAGCCCCAGTGCAGCAGATATAATCAGGCCCAGTGACCTTGGCACAGCAGGTGAGCATTCAGGCCTCTAGCCCCTGGCACAAGAAGCTTGGGACAGTGCTCCCTTATCCCGGGGCGGAGCTCAACTTTAAAAATCACAAAATAGACTGGAAAATGAGCAAAAACCAAAACAAACAAACAAAAAAACCCCCAAAAACCCTGACCATAGAAAGCTACTAAGGCAACAGGGAAGATCAAGACACAAACTCTGAAGAGCACAACAATGTCAAAATGCCTACATGCAAAACCTCAAAGAGAAATATGAATTGGTCTCAGGCCCAAAAAGAACTCCTGGAAGAGCTCAAAAAGGATTTTAAAAATCAAGAGAGGTAGAAGAAAAATTGGGAAAAGAAATGAGAGTTATGCAAAAGAAACATAAAAAAAAGTCAATAGCTTGGTAAAGAAGCACAAAAAAAGGAAAAAGATGTACAAAAATCCACTAAAAAAAAAACTCCTTGAAAAACAGAACTGAACAAATGGAAAAGGAGGTATAAAAGCACATTGAAGAAAATAATTCCTTAAAAATTAGAATGGGGTTAAGTGCAAGCTAATGATTCCATGAGACATCAAGAAACAATAAAACAAAATCAAAAGAATGAAAAAAAAACCCCAGAAGAAAATGTGATATATCTCATTGGAAGAAACAAGTGACCTTGAAAATATATCCAGAAGAGATAATTTAAGAATTATTGGATTACCTGGAAGCCATGATCAAAAAATGAGCCTCAACAGCATCTTTCAAGAAATTGTGAAGGAAAAATGTCCTGATAGCTCAGAACGAGAAGGTAAAATATTAATTTAAAGAATCCACTGATCACCTCCTGAAAGAGAACCCCAAATGAAAACTCCCAGGTATGTTAAAGCCAAATTCTAGAACTCTCAGGTTAAGGAGAAAATACTGCAAGCAGCCAGAAAGAAACAATTGAAATATCAAGGAGCCATAGTCAGGATTACACAGGATTTATCAGCTTCTACATTAAAGGATTGGAGGGCTTGGAATATGATATTCTGGAAGCAAAGAAGCTTGGACTAAAACCAAGAATCACCTACCCAGCAAAACTGAGCGTAATCCTTCCAGGGAAAAAGTGAACATTCAATGAAATGGAGGACTTTCAAACATTCCTGATGAAAAGACCAGAGATAAACAGAAAATTCAAATATCAAATACAAAGCTCAAAAGAAGCATAAAAAGATAACCAGAAAAGAGAAAAAAAGTAATTCAATAAGGTTAAACTGTTTACATACCTACATGTGAAGATGATACTTATAACTCTTAAGAATTGTATCACTATAAAAAAGGAAAGAAAGAAAAAAGAAGTGTATCACTATTAGGGCAGTTAGAGGAAGTATATATAGATAGAGGGTGCAGATATAAGCTGACTATGATGAGATGATACAAAAAAATTAAGGGATGAGAAAGAAGATTGCACTGGGAAAAAAGGGAAGGAAGAGGTAGAAAGGGATAAATTATCTCACATGAAGAGGGACAAAAGACCTATTACAGTAGAGGGAAAGATAGGGGGGATGAGCAGTGCTTGAATCTTACTCTCACTGGATTTGGCTCAAAGAGGGAATAACATATATACTCAGTTGAGTATAGAAATCTATATTACCCTATAGGGAAGTAAGGGGTGACAAGAAAAAAAGGGGAGGCTAATAGATGGGAGGGCAGATTAAGGGAGGTGGTGGTCAGAAACAAAATACTGGTGAGGATGGAAAGGATGAAGAGAGCGAGAACAAGAGTGAGAGAAAGAGAGAAAGAGAGAGAGAGAGAAGTATAAACAGGAAAATAAGATAGGGGGAAATATATAGTTAGTAACCATAACTGTGAATGTGAATGGGATGAACAGAATTTTGTTATTCATAAGAAACGCATTTAAAGCAATGACACACACACATAATAAAGGTAAAAGGCTAGAGCAGAATATATTATGCTTCCACTGAAGAAGAAAAAAAGTAGGGGTAGCAATCATGATCTCAAACAAAGCAAAAGCAAAAATGGATCTAATTAAAAGACATAAAGAAGGAAACTACATCTTGCTAAAAGGTATTGCAGATAATGAAGTAATATCATTACTAAATATATATGCACTAAATAGAATAGCACCCAAATTTCTAAAGGAGATATTAAATTAGTTATAGGAGGAAATAGACAGTAAAACTATACTAATGGGGGACCTCAACTTTCTCCTCTCAGAACCAGATAAATCTAACCACAAAATAAACAAGAAAAGAGTTAAGGAGGTAAACAGAATTTTAGAAAAGTGAAATATGGTAGACCTCTGGAGAAAACTGAATGGGGTTAGAGAGGAATATGCTTTTTTCTCAGCAGTACATGGCACCTGCACAAAAATTAACCATATATTAGGGCATAAAAACCTCACAATCAAATGCAAAAAGGCAGAAGTATTACACTTAAAATGCATTCTTTTTACATCATGATGCAATAAAAATTACATTTAATAAAGGGTCACAGAAAGATAGTTTAAAAATTAATTGGGAACTAAATAATCTAATCCAAAAGAATGAGTGGGCCAAAGAACAAATCATAGAAACAATCAATAATTTCATTAAAGAAATGACAAAAATGAGACAACATACCAAAATTTATGGGATGCAGCCAAAACAGTGCTTAGGGGAAATTTCATACCTCTAAACACTTACATCAATAAAAGAGAGGAAAAATTGATCAATGAATTAGGCATGTAACTAAAAAAAAACTAGAAAAAGAACAAATTAAAAATCCCCAATTAA